GAGGAGTGGGGCGTGCTCCGGGCACTGCGTGCTTTGCTTCTAATTAGTGTTGTGGAAGGAAGCTCTTGAGCTGATGTCCCGCCCCACGAGCCAAACAACCACAAGCCAACCAAAGACCAGCTTGATAGCTCTTGGCGAGATGGGCACCTTGGTACCCATCTCGCCAGGTTGCCCAGCCAGGACCTCGCCATCAGCTATGGCTACAACAAGCTTGCCACCTCGGTGCCCCAAACCGTGGCGGTGCCACTTGGCAACGAATTTTGTGGGGGTGTGATGGCTTCAGATGAGTGACTGAGTTCAGCGGAGTGGAGTGCAAGGATAACCACTTTTGCAGCGCCGTGAAGAAGTATGAATATGCTAACGTGGGACAAGCTTTGCCTGATTGATTCCGAAGGTCCAAGCATAGGTCCCCTGGCGCCCGCGCCCGAGGTCAGGAGGCCAACCAGTGAACAATCTCTCCGACTTGGTGCGGACCGAGCTGGCAATGGCTGGCTTCACCGAGTGCATGCGCCTTTGCCCGTGAGGTTGATCCTGTGAAGTAAGGCCATTGTGGGATATTGTGGGGCAGGCAGTGGCAGAAACCCTTATTTCAATCTGATTCAAGCAGTAAAGCCATCCAGCCACGGTGAGGAACCCGGAAATCTTTCATCCATGGCTATTTGTGGCCTTTGGGGCCTCGTTTTTGATTAGCATCTTTTTCGCATCAAGGCGCAAGGAAGCGGTAAAGACATCACTGAGGAATTGGTCGCTTCTGTCCCAGAAGGAGAACTACACCTTTCTGCGGCGCGAGTCCAAGGCTGAGATGCTGCGCCGCTCTGTGGACTCGCCGTATGCACGGGCCCTGGTCCCGGAAAGCAGCGCGGTTGGTGCCAGAGTCGTAGTGGTTGTAAGGCCATAGACCCCTTGCAAAGGAAAGCCAACAGGAACATGCTTGAACAGTTCCTCTATCAATTGGAGGCTTGGATAGAGCCCCGATCGCTTGGTCCTTGCATTAGTCTGTGGACGCAGCGCCGTGAGAGGGTTGATCCGCTGGTCGACAGTTATAACCTCCAAAGGCGCCTAAGGAGCAGCAAGCCCTCACACGCTTTCAGCTCAGTTGACTAGGCCAGTGCCCCAAAATGTCCGGTAGCCTGCTGACAAGAAAACACTGGCCGGTGAGAGATGGGCCCGTTTGGAGTCTGTGTTGGCCGTTTTATCCGGGACAGATCCTCAGGGAATTCAAGTTCTCCCATCCCAGAAGGAGCCTTTACTTTGTGACATCACGGCCCTAGTGATGTCGCCATAACTTGCGCCCAAACCTGCGATTCAAGTCAGGCCACGCGCAGCGAGCCCTGAGGAGTACTGCTCCTCCGCGCCAGCGGTCTCGGTGTCCAATCCCAAGACCATCGGCTTCGAGATCGTGCGGACCACGCTGATCCCGGGGATCCTGAAGACCCTGGCGCCTGGCCCTGTTTCAGCATGCAACTAGAAGCATACCTGCGACATTCTGCGACCTACCAAAAGCCGACACCCCAAGAAAGACTAACCGGCAAGCAGAAAACCTTTATCGCATCGCAAGCAAGGTTCAGAACCAACACTGGCGACAAAAAGCCACACTCCGCCCCAGCCTCGCGCTTGACTGCTCCGCTCCGGGTTTTGAAGGCCAACAACAAGCAGCTGCCGCCGCCCATCCGCCTCTTCGAGGTGGGGGACGTGGTGGTGCAGGAGCCGACCAAAGAGGTAGGCTGCAAGAACGTGCGGAGGCCGGGGGGGGCCCATACATGGAGAGCTGGGATGAAGCCTTTGCCATTTGCGCGTGCTTTTCTTGTGCATCATTCCGAAGTTGTTGAACTTCGGAAGAGGGACCAGAGTATCAGAGTACAGTGGCTGCAAGGCATTTGCCGCCAAGCCAGTTTTGCTTCTGCGCCATGCTTGGCAGGTTGGTGGCTGTGCACTGCAACATGCGGAGTCAGCAGCTCGGCGCAGACCTGGCTTGTGCTCAGGTCTTTCCGGGCTATTGCGAAATAGGCCCCCTCCAATTTGGGAGGAACACCAGGCCAACATAAACCGCTGGCTGATTTGCAGTTTCTTTGTTTGTTTGTTTGTTTGTTTGTGCATGCGTGTGTTGTTTGTCTGTCTGTCCGTCTGTCTGTCTGTCTATCCGTCTGCCAGTTTGTCTGTCTGCTTGCTTGCCTGCTTGCTTGCTTGCTTGCTTGCTTGCTTGCTTGCTTGCTTGCTTGCTTGCTTGCTTGCTTGCTTGCTTGCTTGCTTGCTTGCTTGCTTGCTTGCTTGCTTGCTTGCTTGCTTGTTTGTGTGTTTGTTTGTTTGTTTGTTTGTTTGTTTGTTTGCTTGCTTGCTTGCTTGCTTGTTTGTTTGTTTGTTTGTTTGTTTGTTTGTGTGTGTGTGTGTTTTGGCAATTTGCTTGCTGGAGGGCTGAAATCGTTCCTGGGCTGACAGTGGAAAGCCTTCTATTTGTTTCTTGGTGCATCCTGGCGGGAGAGGTCACATATTTCGGCATTTGTAGTTCTTTAGTCTTCATGTTTGGTGTGACATTGTATTCCATGTTGGCATCTTTTAAATATCTAGTTTAACCCCGCCCTTCTTGTAGTTGAGCTGTTTCCTCCTAGGTATTGATACAATTGCATGTTCAGCTACGTTGTTTGCTCGAAGTTGTTTGTTTGAAATTAGCATTACACGTATGTTAGTGTACCAGGAGATCCGATGTCACCCAAAAAGCATTCAGAGGATCCATTGTTTGAGGTGGGGTCCCGCATCAGGGCTGGGGACTGATTTCTGATGATATGTGGCGATTGAAGCCCCGGCACCTTCCCACTCCGAGTTCAGAGGTGAAGACATCAGCACATCTCTGTTTAGAAAGGAAGGCGCTTTTGTACAAAGTCGGAGGCTTCTTGCGCCTGTTTTTCCAAGAGTCCTATGCCCGGGCTCCCTTGGAGTGGCTTTCTTCGGCCCCGTCTCCGTTGGAAGGGCCGGGGCTCAGGTTCTCCCTGCTGCACGGCGCCCTGGACCAGCTGATGTATTCCCTGCGCTGCGAGCCCGCCCATGAGCATGAGGAGGGCTCCAAGCGCCGGAGCTTCCACCTGGAGCCCAGCGAGGAGGGAGTTGGACGGCGCCCTTGTGCTTTTTTTGGGGAGGGGGGAGGGTTTATCCATGGTGCCGTGGCGCTTGATGGTACTTAATGGTACTTGATGGTACTTGATGGTACTTGATGGTAATTGATGGGAATTGATGGGAATTGATGCTGGTTGTTACTTGACATGTGCCTGACCGCCTCGGATTGTTTTGTCAGTGTCGCCTATGAGAGAAGGAGCGCATGTGTTCTGTCTTAGCGCTTGGCCCATCCCAATCGGCCCCGGCCTGGAAACCTCGAGTTGGAAGCACCAAGTGGCAGCTCCTTGGGCTTGATGGCCCATGTACCGCATGTGGGAAGTAATGCCGAAGCATCATCCGCATCGTCCGAAAGCTGTATGCACTGGGTGGTGCAGTGCCCAGATTTGCTGCCCCAAGAAAGAGAAAACAAAGCTCTTGGGGTCCGCGGTTTGGGGGCAGTGGTCAATCTTAGAGAAGGCTTTAGCAGCGATCAAATGGGGAGACATCTAATCACAAGAGAGCCACTGCACAAAGGTGAAGGCCATCCTGAATCCTAGATTGCCATACGCTAGAATTGTCAGAGCTGCCATCATGGACACTTTGCGAGCCGGTTTTGAGCGATGGCAGGAACTATCCAAGGCCGCTCGCTAGCCCTCAAGAAAGAATTTGGTCTCCTGGCTGTGGAAACTGGGCCACGCCATTCACCGCCACCCACGCCAAATATTCCCAGAGCAACTGCTTCTGTTCCCGGTCGGCACCGGTTTCGGTCAGGACCCCGCCTTCTTCCCGGGCATGCAGGCCCACATCGTCTGCGAGGGCGTGCGGGTCGGCATCATTGGGGAGCTGCATCCCGAGGCACGTAGCAAGCGCATATCCGCGCGCATATCAGGTATCTCTTAATTGGTGGATTGGATGCCCTGTTAGTCCTTGTTAGTCCTTCAGACTTGGAGTGGTGGTTTGGGGTTTTGCAGAGGGTAACTGGGAATCCCCCTCCTATCCACCAAACCACAGCAATTGGAAGGAGGCGGGTGCAACGTGCAAAGCTGGCCGAGAATGCATCTATCAAGAGGAACCTTTTGACACAGTTCTCATGGTTTCCCGGGTTCGCCCTGTGGAAAAAAAGAACCCATTGCATGACTACGTGGGGTTTGGGTGACCCGCACGCTTTCCAATGGGTGGGGCCATCAATATAGCGGATTGCGTTTGGGTAACTTGCCGCGCATGCATTCCTCAAAAAGGATCAGTTTCCAGCACTTTGCCAGATTGTCTCAAGGGCACGGGGTCAGGTCTTGGGCAAGAAGGGCTTCGAGATCAACATGCCGACCTCGGCCCTGGAGTTGAATCTTGAGCCCTTCTTAGAGTGGCTGTGAGCCCCCGAAATCCTGCCCATGGGCAGATTTTGCCGTGTACAGGGACGCTTAGGCCATTTTCCGAAGGCATGGGAAGTGATCGCGCGAACCGGAAAAGGGCGAGGAAGGTGTGCCTGACGGCTCGCAAGACTGCCGAGGAGTGGGGCGCGGAATATCGCATGGATCCGTCTCCCGCTTTCCTTTCGTAGGTGATGTACCTTCGCCTCTGCCCGAACATGCTTGCCGATAGGGAGACTTTGACGGACCCACTGTTGCAGAGATGCCGAAAAACATGTGGTAGCCTGCTCAAAATGTACGGTGAAAACACACACCGCAGCTTGTTTCACCGTTTCTGCGTTGATTTGAGCGCTGCGTGCTTTCTTGAAACCCCTCCTGTTTTGCATTTTTATGAGTTCTCAAAGGCTCCAGCAACTTCTGGAAAAGTCAGGCCATTGTCACTTGCTTTGCTACCTGCACCGTTTTTGCACCCAACATCCAAGGCCATGGATCCATGCATGGGTCACCCTTGGCCTGTGCAGGCGTAAGTGTGTGCCATATGCCGAGGCTTCCGATCAACTACCGCGTAGACAGGAGCGCGTGCAGTCGCCGGGCAGCAAGCCAGGAATCTCCATCATGAAACTGGCCGCACGGCAACATCAGGTGAGTTACAATCAAAACCCAGATAATTGAAGGGTAGTAAGGGACAATCCCAGCCAAAAACGGGGGCGGCCGCCTTTTCAATCCTTTACATAGCCCCTGGGTAGACCATTTGTGTACCAGGGTTGGATGGTGACACAGGTAGGCTTATGCTAAAGGAAAAAGTTCGGGAGTCGTTGGCAACAATCACTTGAAGTACACACAGGAAACACATGCTTAGGCTCTGAGGTTCAGTTTGCTGCACAGGGGAACGGGAGCGTGCTGCATCCTTGCATTCAGGAGGATTTGGGTGTATGTATTCTCACATGCCCCCTAAAAGTGAATCCTCCAAAAAGCGGTCCCCCCCCAATCTTGGGAAAGACCACGTGGTTTGCAGTTCTTCTCGTGGAAGCTTGCCATCCGCACGCGCTGTTAGGCGAGTTCCTTTTACTCTCAGAGCTCTGCGGCATGATCGAGGCAGGAGAGCAGTGAACCCGTAGCCTGAATGGATGCTTTGCCATAGCTCCCTTGGGGGATATGTTGTTTCTAAGGCGCAATGGTCGGTTCCAATTGTCTTTCACCGAGATGTGAGGTCAGGCTCTGGCTCTCATCGCTGGCACACGTATTCACCCACCTCACCAAACTCATCCCACTCCCACCTTATGCAAAAACAAGGGGAAGAAACCATTCTCATTCTAGTGGACATCAGCTCACCGCACCTGTTGGCTCACCGCCAATCCGCCAACCGACGCGGCCCTTGGACCTCAAGAATGGCCGAATGGTCTGCCGATGTCTGCCGCTCAGGCGAGCCGAGCCGCGCGAGCGAGCGGCACGTCACGCGGCGGCATGGCAGCGTGTTCGTTTGGTTCGAGCGCCGTCGGCGAGTCAATGTTGGCTTCCTGCGCCAGAGGCTGAAACAAACTGAGCTGACGAGTGCCAGATTTGTTTGCAGGCTTTTTGGCACTCAGAGTTTGAGTGAAGGTCAGTGATAAACAAGACATGTCGATTTGTGTGAAGCTGATATCTGTGTTCCGGGACAAGAGGGCATGAAGTGCAACGGTATTGACTGAAGGTTTATGTGTTCCCTGACTTTACCCTGCATTGGTGGTTTACCCGTTTGAAAGAAACCCTGGTTCTTGTAGAGGCTAAATAAGAAATCCAAGCCTTAAAGCCACTAGTCCAAACCACTAGCCCAAACCACGAGACTGTGCATTCGGGATGCTCAGAGCGAGGTTGCGCTTGTACTCCACCGGCCCTTCATGTTTGCCGGGCCCTCACTGGATCTGGGTATGAGTCAAAAATAAACCACCAGGGGACCGCAGATTTTAGTCCATGTTTCCATTTACCAGGATTCCATTGTGGGCACCTATTTTTGACCCACAGCCATCTAAGTCTCTGCAGGTCGTGTTTCAGGGCTGCAAGGGTGGGCGTGGACGTTGCCGCAAATCCGCAAGGCCAGCCATTCAATCTTGTCCCCTCGAAGCTTGTTGGGGTTGGGGCCTTCCGACATCAACAGTCAAAGCGGCCGATGTCTACCGCAGTTGGAGAAGCTCTTAGTCTGACAGTCATCAATGTGGCTGTGGCTCAACATTAAACAGGGGGGGTTACGCAGGTTTTGGTCCATGTTTTCACTTACCAGGGTTCCATGTTGATACCGGTTTTTTTGAGCCACAGCCATATGTCCATTTTCCGGTAGGCTGATGCTGAGGTGGGCATTACAAAGCACCGCAAAAACAACACAAAACAACAAACAAAAGTGTTCATCCCAAACTTTAACATGCCGAGGCTGACCAAGCACTCCACACCCCAACTGCGCTCGGAACCAATGCGCCACGGGCACGAAGGTCCTGCATGCTGGCAATTTGGCAGTTCTGCCTTCTATTCCCAGCTGTGCGGGTGCAGGCAGGCGATCTGGCTCTTTCGTTCGGCGATGACCATCACCACCCTTCTTTTTTTTGGGAATCGGCTCAAAGAGAGTGATTTTGAAAGATTGTAGAAGGGTCCGCAGGCTGGCGCGTGGAGCAAAGCAGGCTGCCAAATCCCACTCATTCAATGCAAGCCCGTTCTGCTGTCCGTACTATGCGACCCCATTGCGTGTAATGCATCTTGGCATCCAGTTGCTTATCCATCCCTCATCGAACAGACTTGACCATTTTCTTGTTCTCAGACCAGGGCTTTCCTCGGTTCAAATGTTTTCTTCGAAGATGCTTGCAGTGTGTTGCCCCTGGCACTGTTGTCTTTTGCGTCTCGCTCAGTGCAACTAAGTGCGCGGCGTTTTCTTGTTAGGGGGGGGGGGGGGGAAAGGGTCAGGCCTTAAAAAAAAAGCGGCAACTGCTATTGTGTCCGGGGGCGCTGCCAGATACCTCCAGGTTTCCGTTTTCGACCGTCGGAGACCGAGTTCTGTCAGCGGGCGGGCTGCGCCAGGTTGCCTTTGGGCGCACGGCCTTGGCCCAGGTCAGCGGGGTCAATCGGTTCGTGGATGGAAGGGCCATGGCGTGCTCCGTTGTTTGTTCTTCTTTTTTGTTCTGTTCTTTCTTTTTCCTCGTTATTGTTTCTCAAAAATAACTAGTCTTTTTTTACAACACCATATAAATGTATGTGTATATATATTAATATATATATATATATACATATAAGTTTTCCCTGCGAAGAAAGCCCCTCAGGCTGAACTGGCAAGCCTTCGGTTGAGCTCATTGCTGTGCAGAGCATATCGGGATTTACCCTTTGCATTGCCCGGCAGCGATGCTTTTTGAATGTTCAAGGAGGGCTAGTGGCACCTAAATGGGGAACCCATGGTTTACAGAATGTTGGGACTGGGTCGCCAATGTTGGACCGATCTTATTAGGTTTAATTTGGGGGGAGGAGGGTTTGGGTTGGTGTTTGGGTTGGGTCAGTACTGCACGTGTGAATGTAGTATAGCAGTGTTGCTTGCGTTTTGTTTCTTCATTTGTTTTGTTTGTGGAGGGGGTGTGGGTGGAGTTGAAAACAACTTTCCAGAATAGCGAGCAGTCCCAGGATGCTGAAATGGGAAAACATGTTATGGAAACCCTGATGTCAAACGCGGTTTCAACATTAAACCTGTCACTGTCTTTTGGAAGTTGCGGCTTTTCTGCGCATTTGCAGCGTTGTTGAACTAGCGCACGCTTCTCCCACAGTGTATTTGTGCAGCTCGCGCAAGTTGTAGCAAATACATCGGGGAAAGAGCCAGCCCAAATGAGAGGTGCTTCGCGTATGTAGCCGGGAGGTCCCAAATCTGGGAGCATGGGCCAGGAATCTCACGGAGAAGGCCATGTTGTTCGTGCCGGCGTCCCGGAGGAGTTCCGAAGCTGGCGACTCCCGTCAACAGCCACTGAACAGCTTTCTTGGAATGAGCTGCCACTGGAACAAGCGTCAAAAGGGGCATGCAGCACAGTGTTTGAAACGGACGCAAAGAGTCCAGCCGGGAAGCTTTGCCTTTTTTCCGCTTGACTTGTTGGCTTCACTTTGCCAGGACGACCCAGACTGGTGAGGGCTGATGGGCAGGTAGGGTCTGGCAGAGTGAAGCCCAAGACTAGATAGGGCCGCACAGGCATCGAAACAAGTATTGCCGCTCATGGTTGTCTGCGAGTGGGAGTGTGGGAGCACGCCTCTGCAAGTCATGATGTTAGGTGAAATACACCTTCCAGGCCCAGTTCTATGCAGTTTGCCTGCCTTCATTGCACGCAGGTTCGGCATGTCCAGCGTTGGTGGTGAATGCCAGTCACGTTGATTCAGGAAGGAGCAGGTGGTGTGTTGACCTCACATGTTGAATAAACTTTCTTTTATGGCAACATGATCGGTCTTGGGCACGTTGTCGGGAAAACTGGTATCCGTGACCCACCTCCAGCTTAGCACCGCTTCTGAAAGCAAAGGGGCAAGCTCAACAAAAGATCGCGAGCAGCACCCTTGAGCTCATCCACAGCATTGACTTGTCATATGGGCATATCATATGGCATTCGCTTGGTCCAGTTCCATCCTTGATCAAGAGATCCTGTTAAACAGATAGCTTGAGAGGGAGCGGGCGCTTGCCTGGCCTTTGGGCGCAATGGCCGTGGCTGCTGCGGAGCTTTGCATCAGGCAGCAGCACCCGCTGGCTAGTTGTGCAGGGCCAGCCCCGTGAAAGTTATCACATGTGAAACATGCACAAGAGACGCGCAGGGTAAACAAGTGTAGGTACACCCTCCAAAATGACTCAGGCATAGAGAAGACAAGCCAACCTGATACCTTGGGTCAGACTAGGCAAACTACATCCAGCAGGCCAGAGCGCAAGGCAACTCAACCACAGAAACCCCGTCAGAACAACCCGGCGATTCGGAGGACGCAACAAATGCGATGGTGAAGCATGTGAAACACTGGGCATGTGTGTGTGTGTGAGCAGGACTTCCCTCACTTGTAAGTTTGATTTGCACGCCCCAAACCCGAAATAGGGAGTTCCGGAGGAAGCAACCAGTCATCCACATGCTGGATTGCCGTTGGATTTCAGAAACCGTTCTCATTGAACGTCCTACGAACCATGACCATGTCCTCAAGCATTAACCCTGACACATGGAAAAAGCTGTGCCTTTGCAAGTGAAACGGCAGTGTTCCTGAGCTGTATTGCCTGCTTTCACTGTCTTCTCCGCCGTGGGGGCATGTTGCAATGTGTTCTGTGGAAACGTGCCACATCAGGGGCCCAAGTTCTCTTGTGCCGCCAAACCGTGGAGTGAAGGCGGCTGGAAAGCAGGAAATGCCAAGCGTTCTAGGAATGATCGCGCATGATGGGTGGGTTGTTGGTTCAATCGTCGCAGTCAGCTGGGCACACCGAGAACTCGAGAACCCATTAAGGCATCGCCGTCGAGGGCTCGCGGCGACCGGGCAGCGGGCAGTTTGCGCAGGTTTCCACTAAAAACCCAAACAAGGATCAATCAGCGCGTTCCACGTTGACAACTGGGTTTGCTTTTGGGAAGAGTTCCCCATTCAAAGAAACGGCAAAACGTCCGGAGGTTTCACTCAATTCCTTCTGATTGATTCGACATTTACCCCATCAAGCCTTCGCGCGGCGCATGTGGCACCATGTGGCACCCCCACGGCGCGGGCGTGGCGGGCGCGGCGGGCGCGGCGGAAGCAGCCCTCTTTGAGAAGGTGCGGCGCTTGTACCCCTTGGCCAGCGACCAGGAGGGGATAGAGAATGATGGCGTCTCCATTCCCAGGCCAAAGCCGAGAACCGGATTCAGATTTGATTGACGATGGGACAACTTTACATTATCGTCGCACCTCGCATGTTGAAGTAATGGAGCCCACCAGCCAATTGCAACTCTTGAGGAACTCAGACATCCAGCCTCCAACACCAAAGTGCCACCAGTGCCACCAGTGCCACCAGTGCCATGCGTAGGACTACAAGCAGCACGGCCGGTGGCAGCGGGACCTGCTGCGCATCGACCTCAAGCTGTTGCGGGCGCACCGCCGGGAGGCTGGCGCAGAGCTGGAGGCGGGGGTTCGGGGTTCGGCCGAAAAAGAAGACAAGGGTGGTAAGAATCATGGTACTTCTCAAGTGCATACAGATTTAGACAGGCATACTAGGTCTTTCTTTCTCAATATACTTTTTTTTTTTGAACATTTGATGGCTTTCCATAGTGGCAATCATCATGATATGGTCATTGCGCACACACACCCACACACCCACCCACCCACCCACCCACCCACCCACCCACCCACCCACCCACCCACCCACGCACGCACGCACGCACGCACGCACGCACGCACGCACGCACGCACGCACGCACGCACACACGCACGCACGCACGCACGCACGCACGCACGCACGCACGCACGCACGCACGCACGCACACACCCACACACACACACACACACACACACACAGACACAGACACAGACACAGACACAGACACAGACACAGACACAGACACAGACACAGACACAGACACAGACACACAGACACACAGACACACA